CGGTTCCCACTCCCACTCCGGAAGGTGTATCACCATTCACTGTCAATCGAAGTTGGTCCATCTTTTCTTTGGAAACGAAGTTATGGGATGCCCCACAATCGATGAGAATGATTACTTCTTCCTCGTTGATTTTCCCCTTAACCTATGGTTCGAGGGGACGACAGTCCAATGACCGAGTTCAAGGACAATTCTACAGCCTGTTCCTCTTCCCTCCCCTTATCTCCCCTGCGATTGTCATCAATTTCGAGACTTTCCAGCTTCTGCAATTCACCGTCAGTGGGTTCGTCTTGCACCAGTAACATTAATTCTTTGTTCTTACACTTATGCCCAACTTTATATTTCTCATCGCATTTAAAACAGTGCTCTTCGCCTGTTTGTCCCTTAATTCCCCCTCGGACAGCCTCCGGGTAGTATCAGAGGAGGTTTTAGTCGTGTACGAAGCTGTGGCCGTTGCTGCCTTGTTTGCTGCAATAGTGTAGCTATTAAGAGTTGTCTTAAATGAATTACCTATAGCTCCCAAGAGTGGTTTATACGTGTTGTTGTTAGCCTTGTATCCTCCCACGACTTGAGTGTTATGATCTTCCACCAACTGAGCTATCTCTATTGCTCTCAGCAGGCTGTGGAGTCTCATCAATCTCACTTCTGTTTGAATTGCACCGTTCACGAAATTCCCTTCCAACACTTTCTCCGGTAAATTTGACAAGGATGCTGCAAGGATCTTGAATAAATGACGATACTCCCTTATAGTACCCTCTTGCTTTAGCGCCACTAATTTTTCCCAAGTTGATCCTCTAATTGTCGATCGGAATCGCTAATTAACAATGATTTCAGCTCCTCCCATCTTACTAACGGTCGTTGACTATCAGTCCATAGTTGTTAAAGGCTCAAGGCGCACTTAGGCGCAAAGGGGTCCTAGGGCCTAGGCGCAAGAAGCAGGCATGAGGCGCAGGCCTCAGGAATGTGAGAAGCATCTTATCAGTACACACACACACTCACACACACAGTTACACACAACAAGTCCCCAATGGAGCAACCACAGTACTTCGATAGAGGTGAAGAGTTTAAAGCATGACAAGTTTTAAGGTCTAGGTATTTATAGAGAAGGAGGCTTGAAGTTCTAAGGATAATTTATTAACACTTATTTTAAGAAACCTAGGAGATGAAAATATGAGAAAACTTATTTAATATTAGGGTTTAACTAGGTATTTAATAACTTTTTATGAGACGCACCTAGGCCCACAAGGCACCTCAGCCAAGGCGCAGTGCCTTAGTGAGCCTCCTGAATACGCTGAGCCTCGACTTGAGAAAAGCCCAAGACCTTGGGCCTTACAAGCCTCAGAGCCTAGGCGCGCCTCTCAAGCGCGCTTTTAACAACTATGGGTCCACTGAAACCAAGCTAGGGCCTCTCCTTCCATGCATATTCCTGCAGTCACCACCTTCTCAGTCTCTTCAAAATGTTGTAATGTTAAGTACCTTTCTACTCGAAACACCCAACCATCTGGATCATCCCCATTAAACATGGGTAACTCTACCCTCCTCAGCCTCAATCACCAGTGAAGTGAATAGCCCATTGGCGGTGGATTTCAAGCCTCCAGTTCCACCAGACGGTGTCCCTATTGGAATCGATTGCTGATCCAGGATCCAACCAAGTTTGCGTTCCTTGTTGGCCCATCAATTCCAATTTCGTCATCAACGCCTAAATTCCATGTCCCAAGCCATCCATTCGTATCAAATTGCCAACATCTTGATTGCAAATCATTTGGATACTAAGCTTCATTGATTGCAGGTTCGTCTCCACCGATTCCAGCTTTTTTCCATTTGCACCGTTTCTTCTAGTGAAACAATCCCACCTTGGTTTTTGGGAGCCATGGTATCCAGAACCACGGCTTGCCCCAAAATGATATGAACTCAACTGAATCAAAGGAGTTACAGGGTTATTGGTTTTCGAGAGCCAGCCTCTCCCAATGGAAAAAAGAAATTACAGAATTCCAAGACACCCTCAATCACCTCTCAATCTTTAATATATATTGGTCCCCCACAAGAAAAGCAAATAAACACTTACGGAAAGCAAATAAACAATTATCGAATTTCCCCTTATACTTCTTTCTCTTTTTCTTTAGTTCCCCTCAAGCCCTCCTTGTATAGACCTTCACTATTGGTGGCTTATCATACTCTTGCACTATGCTATTAGGTGTGAGGACTAAAAAAATGCTTATAAACCTCGTGAGATTTTATAATGCTCCAAGACTTGTTCCTGAAAACATTGTCATGTCATGACAAGTAATAGCTCTCAACACACTCCCTACCATGCAAATGCCTCCCCTCGAAAACAGTGTCCCACAACTTCTAGTCCCTCATATTTACTCAATTAGCCCATTACTATTAAGTATTACACGACTCGCTTTAACAAGCCCAACACATCCTCTCCATCATAGACTGTCAAGAACTCATCAACCTTTCATGTTCAGCCACCCTTTCATGTTTGAGTGGGCTCGACTAATGAATTAATCTTGGCTTGAACTCAACTCGAGCTTGAATAATTTTCTTCAAGATTGTGTTTGAACTTGTGCTAGAATATCATACCAATGTTCCAGCTCGTTTAATGATCGAGTAATTGATTGTTAAATCAAGCACCATCACGATAGCTCGCTTATTAAATCAAGCACCATCCCTCTCTTGCAAATGTATTCATTGCCACCAACCGTTTTGGATAGTCATCACCCTTACCACGATCCACAGATAACTCATCTCACCTAGGTTCGACCTTCTAACTATCGCCACTTCAGCAGTTCTCTGTTGACGTGAATTTCTACGGATGTCCTAACCATCCAACCGCTATTCCATGCCCGTTATCCATTGAGCCTACCCTGAATATTCACACGACCATACCGTCCCAACATCATAGCTCTCACTTCCCAATTTAGATTTTCTCTAGCAATTTGGTAAGAACCAAACAAGTTTATTGAATAAAACTAGCAACTAATGAATAAAGAAATTGGTTACTTTTAGGGTGTCATTCATCTCTCCCAAAAATGTCTAATTTACTGGATATTTGTTAAACCAAAATTTGAGCATAAAAACTATCCTATAATGATCTCCTAGATATAGAGCTAACTAATTATGGAAATACAACTTAATCCTAATTGTAAACATGCATTGGACCGAGTAGTTCATTGATTACCTGCAAGGATATTTAAAAAAGTAAATCACCTTTTTGAATTTAACAATATTAGGGAAGCAAACATTTGTTTTGGGACAGAAAGGGTATAGATGGTCCCTACACAATAACGTGTCTCATTCACTTAATTTTGCATTCTCAAAGTAGTTATTCTCCCCTTACCTCTATAATTTCCATTCTAGATTCTATAGTTTGTTTGTCAAAGATACTTCTAGCAAGTTGTGAAAGGCATCCAACAAAAACTATGGTCCAAATTTTAGGCCCTGAAGCGACAACGTAACAAAGATGATGTAGAAAACACAAATAGAAGTGGACAGTAACAATGGTGGTCCATAGTAGGTCAGTAAATGAAAGTGGTCCAAATTCGTAAATTCCAAATCCAAGATGGTCACAGTGTAAACCATAAAGTTAGGAGTAAAACGTATAATTACTAGTTAATTCATAGTTGCATAGTATATCATGAAACTTCCATGAATTACTATTTACTAGTATTGGTGTTTCATGAGTTCTTTAACTCCTAGAAGGTTTGAAATATAGATCTTTTATTATTCTTCTAATCAATACGAGCAATTCTACTGCATACACAATGTTGGTGTTCTACATGATTCTTTAATATAATGATATCCAAATACAGTCAGTATATGTGGATAACATATATGGACTACAACTATGAAAACATAAAATATTAAAATATGTAGAATAGGCAAAGAGTATTGCCATCAGTTTTTCGGACATGGATAAATCTGCTAACAAGCTCTTAGTTAATAGAATGTAAATTCAGAGATACTTTAAGGACCCAAAAATTCCATAAAAATGTCACTTATATACCTTGAACATCTGCACAAGCCAAAGAGGAAGCTCAATCAATCGATCAGCATAGAGAAGGGTTTCTGCAACAACTACTGGTAATCTAGAATGAAAACATTTATACTTTTCCTGCATTCAGTAGTTGAAATATGAACTCATAAGATATAAAAGATTCCATCATTCGCACATTGGTAAACAGAAGATGATTCAATTCAATGCAAAACATATTCCTATAATGCACACACAACAAGGCAAAACAAAAGGGCAGGGAAGATAAGGCCAACACCATTGGAGAACCAAACTCCACCGGTAACAAAACTAAAAAACCCAGTCTACTTTTGTAAGCACCTCATCTCTCTTCTTGCTCTTAGTAAAAGATGTTGAAAGTTGTCCAAATGAGAACACACACACACACTAGAAGTGAACTTTGGAATTATATCAAATAGTGGCACAAGGGTCCAAAGCTATATGAAAGCATAAACATAAATATAGAAAACCCATACAAATTCAAACAATGAGAACAAGATAAAAAGCCTCAAGCATATAAGAAATGTGCTATAATCTCTAGGAATCTCTTCAACTCGATTACAAGGCCTCTCACCAACAAAAACAATGACAAATAAACAAAAATTATTAAAATTATTTCATGAGCAAGTGCAAACAATATTAAGGGAGAAAGAACTTTAAAATCCACAAGGAACTACAAGATGAAAGGAACTTGGAAAGGTGTAGGTATCATTTAGGATTAATCTATAAAATTTGCAAATTGTAATTACTGACCTAGGGATTTGAAGAGGTAAAGATGAAATAGGTTGGCACAAAAAAAAAGGCTTCAATAGGTTAACATGGAACCCATAACAAAAAGAGAAGTGATATATAAGTCTATAAAATGTTTCACTAAGCATATTGTAAAGAAAGATTCCGAAAAAATGTTTTTATCAGTAATGAAAGCAATAATAGATAGGGTACAAGTTGGGAGAGTACATGTCTATAGTTCGTCATATGAACTATATCGGTTTTACTTGTTATATCTTAGCCCTACAATGAAGCTTTAATGATGTATTTTATACTTAAAACAATGTAAATGAGTAGAAAAGGGTCTTCATGTCGTGGTGTTTTTTAAATGTTAAACATGCTCTAAGTGTATCTGCTGGTGCAAGACCAATAGAAGGCAAAGAAAGCTAGTCCATAACACATTTGCCAGTGAAATCTCGAAGGTGCACAGAAACAATTGAACTTTTGATATTGTCGTTCAAAAAGAGACATGTTGGTGCTGTAAATCACACACAGAGGGATCCAATCTGTCACTGAAATCAGAAGGAACAGCAGGGGATTCAGTTGGGGTCTATACATGTCGGGATCAAAGCACAGTGGGAGGAGTAAACTGATGTAGGTTCTTTATATTGATACTGAAGGACTAATAAAAAAGAAAGTTGGGAAGTGAGGAACATGATAGCCATTTTGATTCATGATCTTATATGATTAGTGAGCAAATAGAAAATTAATTAATAGCAAAAAAAAATACGACACCAAATTTCATTAGAGAACTATATTAAAGCCTCAACCCGAAGCACCTGCCTCACTTGTAATTCAAGCAAACTTCCATATAAAAACTCCACGATGAATAAAATAAAAGAAAAGATACGAACCATGTATTGCTCAAGTGCATCCCACTGATCGTTTCCCTTGCAATGTTGTGCTGCAGGAATTATGTCATGGGAATCATGAATAGCCTCATCCTTTGATGATGTTAGGAGCAGACCATGCTTTTTATAATTTTCCCTGAAATGAATATCGGAAATTATTCCTACAAATAGCTTTAAAGCTTATACCAAGTACAATTGATGACTTGTAAGCCCAAACTCAAGAGATCACTTGCAACTAAAAATAAATAATTAGCAGGAGGCAAAAAAGCTGAGTCTAAAATACTTTGGACAACAAATGAAGAGCGAGACCTGCTTGGACAGCATTTCAACGACATGGCAATGAAAACTCTTTCCAGTTCCCTGGACAAGAAGGCATGAATTTTTCATTCATAAAAAAGTAATCAGAAGCACATGATTGAGAGAATTCTTTAAAAGAAGTTAACATGTGGTATACCTCTTTAATGCTGAACCCTTAAAAAAATTTAGAATTACTGTGAAAACCATATCGTATAGATTTGACTGAACCAGCAACTCAACCAAATTTGGTGGAGGTTTCTCAATCCCTGAAAGAATACATAAGAGCTATATTAATTCTCGTGGCATCTACTTAACAATAATACTACGCTAAATTACAACACTATTCTTCAAGATCATAAAATCAGACCTAAGTCATTTACAGCATCAACAAAATTTCAACCAACATCTCAACATTAGCATGATATAAGTGACTCATAGAGATGGACACTGAAACTGAAGAGTCGGTTAAATAGTATATTTCTTTTACTACAGAGGATCATGTGCAACTATAAGTTCTCTTTTCGCCGTCACTGCATGTCTAATATGTCTGGTCACACACCCTAACCTTTTAATAGTTCATGCATTCATCTTCTCCATTCCACCTTCTCCCTCATCACTTCATTTTTGTTTAACTAATAGTGTGCTATATACAAAGATTAGAGCCTATATATCCTTTAGTATTGATTATTTCCAGATTAGACATTGTATGGACTCCATACGACAATAAGGTGAAAAAAGAACACTTCACAAGTTGGTACCAGTAAATGTCCATTTAATATTTGCTAGAGAGAGCAAATATTCTGCTGATGTTAACACAAACTCATTTTCAAGTTTCTCAATATCCATGCAGGAATCCAGTTTCTGACTTGAGAGATGACCATTAGCTTCTGCAAAAGACAAATAACAGACATCAGTGTCATAATTTCCCAGATAGTGGAAGTAAATGGTCAAATAGGATGTCTTTGGATAATTACCCTGCTCTGGAATTGTTATTCTAGCCTTTTTACTTGGATATAATTCTTTCTGTATAGACTTTCCTTGAAGCAATGGATTGATCCATGCACAGGTTGGACGAACAAGATGCAGTGCATTTATAGTGGCAGAAAGGCAGTTCAATCTTTCTTGAAGAGCCAACGATCTGAGTTGGTAATCTTTCAAAGCTGCTTCACTTTTCAGTTGTATTGAATGAAGGTACATATAACTTGCAGCCTTGCGCCAGTTATGTTGATGCATTTCAAATGCATATAGCAATTTATAAGGGTTTGGTTTTACTGAAACATCTGAACGCTCTGCCTGCACAATATATCCAGAACTGTTACAGGTCGAAGGAATGTTTAATAGAACATCAACCATTATACTTTCGTAAAAGCTGCTACACACCTTCCAAGCAAGCTCCTGCTCAACCTTCTCGGTTAAACCAATAAAAGGCAATTGGCCATCACAAAGAATCTACAACAAAAATGGAAATTCAGGTTTTTGTTCTCTCAACACTTTACCCACCCACCCAAAAAAAGAGAACCTGCAAAAGGTAATCAATATACGACTTACACAACCAACTGAAAGTATTGAAAAAGTAACCTTAATTGCACCACGCTCATAAAGGACGATGATAAAACGCCTCAAGCAAATGTATTTGCTTTCTTCATCTGGATTCGAAATAATTGCGCAATATGCATCATAGTAATCGTTCAAATCAAGTGTAAATTTAAATACATTAGCCCAAAGCCGTCCTTTAGCAGTAGTTGGTGATTCACTGAGAAAATCTTCCCCTGAGTAAGTATCTTTAAGACCCAAAACTTCATCAACTTGTTCAAGAGCAGCAAGAGCAAAATGGCAGGCACCTGCACTCATATTATATTGCTCAAATATCTGCATCGCCCACTGATAATAATGAAGCTTCCAAGCTGCAGGCGAGATATGATCAGCTGCAGACCATCAAGTACATTATATGAATGATAGTGCAACATGAAAACTTTCCACTTTCAACCATCTAGATAGACTTACAGAAACCAAGGTGAGGAAATCTGGATTCATATGACAAACTCTGCAACGACTTTGAAGCCCCATGCAAAGATGCAACTCTGGAGACACAATAACCATATCAGATGCTTTCTGAAATTAGCAAAACCAAGATGCACTAATACAATTAATAAGCATAAGATAAAGCAACACATCCTGCTTAACTGTTATGAGACAAACTGGTAGTGGTTTGCCCTAGCATGCTTTCTATAAAGGTATTCAAACACAAACCCATGTGGCTGTGCCTGGGGGTCCATAATTCGTATGTTCTGTGCTTATTAGAGTTAGGAGCTATGACTGTAGGTTGCACTTCTCCTTGTTAGCTGAGGGTACATTCTTGATTGCCCAGTGTGGGATCATCTGCTCATATACTCCATGATTTGCAGGCTCTTGCCATGACAGCCATCCCTCAACTTAATCCATGACAATTAGTGCTCTTTTAAGGGAAACCTATGGCCTCTGTAAGAAGAATATATGTTGCAAATTATGTTACAAACTGGTTGTGCTTGCTCTGCACCTTGGTTGGAGAAGATGTTTCCAGATGAATCTGAAGAGATCTTGTTTGCAGCTATGTCTTTTTAAGTATAAAACACAAATGAAAGAAGTTTGTTGAAATGTTGTAAATTGAAGCCAAGGACCCAAATACACAGCAACTCGGGAAAAGAAAATGAGGTTTCAGTGTTGGAAGTGAAGGGATTATATATACGCATAGAACATATTTTTACACAAATAAACATTTATAATATAAATATGTGATCATATATAGTTATATACATACACAGCACATGCACACACAGATATATATATATATATATATATATATATATATATATAGCCATAGGTTATTTTGAGAAGTGGTAAATATTTGAGAAGTAAAGAAGTGATCCTAGCCCTTCATACAGTCAAGATCGGATTTGACTGGTCATGAAATGTGGCTTTGACTGGTCAAAATTTGCGGCTATGCAAAAAATAAAGGGAGTAGTTTCGTAACTTCTACAAATAGGACGTAAACAGGTTCATATGTGAACCCGTATGATTCACATATGAACTATATGTTCATATGTGAACCCGCGTAATTCACATATGAACTATTTTAACTCATTCACATATGAACCCGTGTGATTCACATATAAACTAATTAACTGATTCACATATGAACCAGTTTGCCGCCTATTTGTAAAAGTTACGAAACTACCCCTCTATCTTCCGCATACCCATGCGAGGAATTATCCGATGCTTCACAGTCAAAGCCGCAAATTTTGACCAGATGAAGAGCTAGGATCACTTCTTTACTTCTCAAATACTTACCATTTCTCAATGAACCTTTACCTATATATAATATGTATATATGTATATAGATAGATACATGTACTATGTATCATTCTAATAATCAGGTTTCATGGTGTTTCCTGCAAGTGGTCCCCCATGACTTTCAGTGTTGAATGTCATATGATTTTTGTTTGATTTCTGCTTTCTTCATAGAACATATTTTCAAAGGATTGACAAATAATGATGATCTTGCAGACCTTTGATATCGAGGTTATGAGCATACCATAAAGCTACAAGCACTTCACAAGGATAAAAGAGATCCAAGAAACCGTGAATTTAAAATGAACGTACACAGTGCCTGTTTGGAATTTGAATTTGATCTAAATTTTTGGTTGGTTAAATTAAATGCATGACAAAGTATCAGGTGCTTAAGCTTGAGGGTTTTTCAGATCAAATCGGTCTGTTAGCTCCGATTATGGAAGAATGGAGCATCCATTTTGTATCATGAAGAACCACCTGTACCTATTAGTATTTGCTTTCCTTTATTCTATCTGATCTTCTTCTTCAATTAATCAGAATGCATTAGGGGAAACTCTTGAATTTGCTTTCCTTTTGATTTGCTCTGGTAAGTCTACACCCTTAACAAGTAACAACCATCATCTACATTCTACAGGATTGTAGATTGCAGCATATATTGATCCTTATAACTAGAGTTGACCAAAAAAAGTGGCAGATGGAGTATGTTGGTAACATCATATTCTAATTCTAAAACAAATATACATGAAAGAAAACCTCCTATAATTTAGATAAATCGATCAATCAAGCACTAGCATTCAAAGAAGTTATCTGCTGTGTTAGAAATATCAGGTACAGTGGCTACTAAAGAATGCTGAATAGGGCTAAACATACCTGTTGTGATGTTGTGATGTTATACATACCTGAAAAAGCAGCAAATAGCTTCATGAACTTTCTTGTCAGTAGAAGTTCGTGGTGTTTGACGGTGTGCTTGTGCAAGCAGACAACAGCCAAGAAGGTGAAGGAGCATGCACCATTCATCATTTACACCCTGGATACTGCTAGATAATTTCTCCTTGAGAAGATTTTGGTTCACCAAAGTAAGAAGATGCTTAAGAACAAAAAAAAAATTAGTATGTTTCTTGATATCAGAAAGTGTCATGATAGAGCACTGTGAAGATCAGGTAATAGAAGCAAAGTGACAAACCTCAACAGCATCAAACTGTCCATGTTTAAGCAAGATCAAAGCAAGCATAGTTGAGCGAGACGAAAAAGAAGACGACCCATCTTCACTCCTGCCCCAAACTATCCAGCTTATGAAGTTCCGTACTGGAGCAATGAAAGAGCTGGGGTGAGGAAGATGTCTTGAATCAACACGGCTCTGATCTCCAAATGAACTTTGATGATCAAGTAAGAGAATAAAAGCCAAAGTGAAGTCACATTTGCCAAGCTTGTCATTCCATGATCTTCGGTCGATGCTGCTATCTGATAGAGCATAAATAAATAAAAATTGTGCAAACTATACACTAACAGGAATGGAATTAATGACAAAGAAATGTGGAGGAGTTGATATCAACACTGAACCAAATTATTAGCATGTCTTCCCTCTGTAATGTCAAAGGATGAGCACAGCTACAACAAAGTGTGTGCAGTGCTACTAAGTAAATCAGCCAACACAAAAAAACATGATCAGGTGAAGAGTTTAAAGTTAAGATACACCTACCAATTTGTAATAAAGAGAGTTGAGAACTGAAATCTTCCATGGCAGGTGATTCACAAGGTCTGGTTCCAAAGAAATGTATTATATGCCACTCAGTAATAATTTCTTGAATCAATGGAAATAACTCGAGTTGCACCCTGGAAACATCATCAGGTAACATATTTATCTGCATATGGTGAAAATAAAGAATTAAGCTTCCATCTTTCTTTCGCCTTTTTCTTGTAGCATGTACTCTCCAAAGTTAACAAAAGAAACTACAGAGGTTAAAATACAATGTTCAAGATAAAACGTGGCAAAATGATTAAGCCTACAGAAGGCATCCCAAGGATCCAAGACAAACCAACTTTATTCCACTGTGACACACTTGTTATCTTGGCCAACCTTTAATTTCTCTTTCATGTACATAGCGCACTGTGGTGCTTGTACACCAGCACAGATAGAAATAATGCAAAGGATGAATATCAGTTATATGGAGAAAGTAAACACGCAGTTTCCCACAACATCAAATAGGAAGCAACTACGAACTTCTGCCACCTTTACTCTAGTACTCCAAACTTATATTAACCATTTAGCAAGTTTATGTACTTATCACATACATTTAAAAAAATAAGCTGAACAAAGGAACAACTTCAAAATGTGTTGACAAGGAATGTGAGGAGATGAAAGATGAGGTGGGTTTTGGCTGTACTTATAGGGGGTTTGGTGCATTAATCTGGGAGATGAGAAGTCTTTTTTGGAGAAGTCTAGGATATGAGAATACTTTTTTTTAAAGACATAATTTCACTCTGATTTATGAGGTGCGCCTAGGCCCAACAATGCACCAGGCGCAGCGCCTTAGCTCGCCTCGTGAATGCGCCTTGCCTCGACCAAAGAAAAGCCCAACCTCCTGGGCCTTATGCGCCTCAGAGCACCTCAGGCACGCTTTTAACAACTATGATGTACGTGATACATAGGTCGTTAGGTACAAATACAAGGCTAATAACCATGCTAAGATACACATTGCCTTTCAAGATTAAAACGTCAACTGCTAACCTGGCCACCTAACTTCACCATGTAGCTCAGCAGCAATAACATGTCCACTGCAGATTCAAACATCACTTTGGCAACTTGTGACGTCACTTGGACTGTTATGCAAGCACTAATGTCAAAAATTGCTTCATAATCCAATTTCTGTTCAATCTTTTGAGGCACTAAAAAGTTCAAGTACTTTAATATAACATCCACAACTTGGTCCCACATCGAAGCTTTGCGGTACAAACCATGAAGAGATAAGAACATATCTGCAGAGAACTTCCGAAGAATTTTGTGGTCACCCACTTCCTTCTCCCATGCAGTATCAACACCTACCTCCGAAACATGGAGAGCTGCTATTGAAGAAGTAGATCTGGTTTCTAAAGTCTTCAACAAACACCCAACAACATCTTCAGGAGACATAGATGGTTCACTGAAAAAAGATTCATAAAATAAAGCAGCAGCGCCTTTTCCTAGCTGTTGGCTAAGGCTACTGGTGCATCGCAGCACCTCAAAAAGTACTTCCCGTTCAAGATCACCAGATAAGTTGATCCTAGAGCTTGCAATTTCACCCAGTTCATCGAAAGACCCTGCAACAAAAGAAAATAATAAAAAAACATTGCATATGATATGACATTAGTGAATGAACAAGACCATGCGGATAGTTAGGGGTATGCATGCTGCAGTTTGTTACCAAAACAGAAACTGAGAGAGCACATTTGGCACCTTAGTTTTCAAAACCAAACTCTACAATTTATGGGGTTTTACTATCATTCTGTTCAAGTTCCAATTATATGTTTATTGGGCCTGTTATTGAGCTCATTAAGGCCTTCCTTTCAATTGGAATCAAGATTTCAACAAATTATGCAACACGGTTACATTTCTAAGCCAGTAAACTGCATTATTTTGGCAACAACTTGAATCCAACCCATGGTTTGGTTTCTATAGAAGCTAAAAACCAAAATGCACCAGAACATTATTAGAGTTTGTTGGCTCAGTTCTGTAATTCTTCAAGTTTTTGAATCAGTTGTATGCCCCTATTAGAAATTAATTGACAGCTTAGATATGTAAGCTTACCAAAGGCAAGAAGCTCTATATCCTCCAAACAACGCAATACAGAAACTGAGGATTTTCTTATTAAACCAATAGCACCAGAAGCCGAATCAAGAAGTAACCCACACGGTGCATTCTTGTTACACCAGTTGTCCAAGTAGTGCGAACAGAAGTTCTTCCAGCAGTATAGAAGTGAAAGAGAACTCCTGGAAACACCCTATGACAATTAACATGGTCGTCAGTTCCACATTAACCACACCCTTTAGGAACATGGAAAAAACATAAGAAGAGATTGTTCTAAAAAATAACGACGATAACAGATATTATAATTGAAGGGGTATAATTGTTAGATGAAACCTCATGCTCAATTACAGAAACGATCTCCTTTTTCATTCCATCAGCGGTTAAAGAGTGAAACTCAGAATCAGTCAAGTGCTTGTTATGTTCTTGTAGTGTTGCTCGGAGAACAGAATTATGGTAAATGCCAGGAAGAAATAGCATACGCAAGAAGATTGTAGACACATGAGGGGAAATTTGCTCCTGCAACATTTTGAACATACAATTAATCGTAAATTGCACAGCCACATGTTAATAAACTACCACCATGATAACTTATATGATACTAAGAGACAAGGGATCACAAAAATACAAGTTATAGCAACATCCACATAACTGCTTCCTCGTTGGCAAAAAATAATATGTTGAAGTTCAAAACAAATGGTTTAATGTTGTACGAACAAAACATTTCAGTGTCGCCATAATGATGTTGAAAGATCGATATGATGTGTAAGGCTAAATGTTGGCCCTAATTTATGCAAGCCCTGGAGGGTGCCTTAAACATTTGTTGGTGACAAATGCTGCTAATAAGGACCAATTTACCACATATTAACGAACAACTTCGCCTCTAAAAATGTCAGCTACGCTTTTACTCTCTCACTCATATGATCATATTACAGCCTATAAAATACATGGTGACCACATATAAGAAGATGAACGTGTAGACGGAGGTAAAAAGCAACGACACCTGACAAACAACAGAATAATCCATGATTAGCATACACTAACCTAATTTTAAGACAAGCAGTTCAGTATTTACAGTTCAATGGTGATTCCATGCATGAGATTTGTAGAGTAGATATATCAAATATAATTAGATCTGAGTTTGCCTAATTAATTGTTTACGACTAACATTAATTTTTGAAGCGGTCAGCAGCAACTAGTCAGTTCTGCAAAAACTATTGTTAATGATTCACTGAACAGGCATCCTTTATCATTTAAACATGGTAAGGCCTATTTCTCAAGCAATGATCCTTATCTTGGTACACAGTATACCCCCACAAAGAGGTGGCGTATAATATTACACAAGGCGGCAGAAGAAGTTATGATATTCAGAGACATGACTGTCAGAAGAATCTATTGTATTCAGAAAAAAGAGAAGACGGTAGCTTGCACATAGTGATGTCACCTCAGCTTTATGGGAAATGATATATCCAAACCTTTAGTGCATTTTCAGAGATCTGGAGACATGACCACTACTGGCATACATTCTTTGCATATTGCACATGCTAAGAGCTGTGAAGCCTGCAAGAGGTATGCAAGAATCTGCTTGTAATAGGTCACAGTAAGCATACAGTGTTCTATCTTTTTCCACTCCTTTTCAATTCGCACAAGAAGTTAGGCTATATCCTGTGTCATCTTCTAGTCTATCTCTTTCATTCTTCTTCTAAAATGCCATTCATGTCCACCTAAAGACTAAAGAGTTCTCTTTACCAAAAAAAAAAGAAAAAAGACTAAAGAGTTCTTAAGAAAAAAGCATATAATCTTTACTGTAGTTGTAGACAGAAGACATTAAGACAATTATCACAAACCAGGAGGGGCTAATAAAGTGTATGGAACAGCAAAAACTTCACAGCACCTTTGCAGATGGATATAGTGAATGAGCAAGCCAAAAAAGATCATCTGCAGAATGCTCAGAGCTTTGAAATAATTGTTCCGCAACAAATGCTTCCTGTAAACCAAAGCATTGCTCGTACCTAAAAACAATTTGCAAAATTAAATAATATAGCAGATAAAACAGCAAAAATTTGTGGTAATATGTACACCAACACATGTTCTACTCGAGTGATGTAGTCAACTATAAATAGAAATTTAAACAAAAAGTGCAACACAACTCAAGATATCGCTAGAAAATAGTCATGCAAGTGAGTTCTTAATTCATGGATATACGCTGTAGAAGTGCAAGAACATACAATGACTTCAGAGTAGAACTACAAGAGTGAAAACAAAAAGTAGATGATAAACATTGAGCCTGAACTAGTACCAGCATATCAACTTATATAGAGGCATTAAGGGCATAGTGGGATATTGGATACAAATAGGTGCTCCAAAAAACGATATTCAGATTACAGAAGCAAAAATCACGTATTATGCTAATCAGGTAGAATATAGCAGCAAAAATTAAGTGAACCCATTAAAACATGTAGCATCCTTACCGGCTCTCGCTTGAACCTAAATTGTGCAGTAGCAATCCATCTTCTTTGAGTATCCAGATTTTATTTGAAGAAAGTTTGACATCAATGAGTGCACCCTAAAAAAACAAAGATGAAAGTTAGACACTGTGAATTGAGATTTATACTTTAGAGCAAAAGAAATATATGATAATTCGTCTTACCTCCTCCAGAGAGATGTTCAATGTTGAAGGCTCAAGAAAAAGGTTAGTGTTCCCTTCCAGACTAAAATGCAAACTGTACAAGGAGATCATCTCCGCATCAACTTCCTAGAAGTTCAAGAGGAAGAAGGTGAAGTAGAAAAATAAGAGATCCACATCCAATCCTATGTTCTAGCAATTGACAAGATAATATAGGTATTAAACATCCATACTATGCATATGATGAGAAAAGTTCACTGATATGTTCAAGCTGAATCTGAAAGGAAAAAACTAACGTAAATTGTTTTACCCCTATCAAAAATCACATTAGTCCATTACATTATCAACAGAACCAGTGAATCAATTATTGTTTCACCTAAACTAGCTAAAACCAAATAGAAGGATAAATGAAAACAAGTGATTTTTTCCACTGCCCATTCTTTAATCTAAAAAGGGAATTTGTCCTTATAGATAGCATTGTAATAACTAAATATTGGATAAATTTTGACGTTCTTTACTTACGTCTGGAAAAAATAGTGCTGGTGATAAATCCTCTTCAGTATACAAATAAGTCCTTTACTTTCTGTTTGAACTTTGAAAAGATAATTACCACCAAATATAAAAAAATTGTACATGAAAAGTACCAATCTTAGGCTTTTGCACGTCAATCAAAAAATAAAATATACTTCTAAACAGTTACAGGTTTCACATGTCTGGTAAATCGTCAGAAATATCTTCATTGACAGACTAGCATGCGAGATATAGAGACAAGACCACGAGGCTAGAGCAAAAAGGAAATGTATATATTTAGTAGTTTGTTTTTGGATGTTCAGTTGGCTGTTGGGATGTAACTGATATATTTATGGTTTATACTTAATACATTAGATGTAGGCGATTTAGGAGTATTACATTTTTATATCTAATTAATAGCATCGTAGTCAGTTAGTTTTTTTCTTCTTACTTCATGATCACTATATTTACTTCTTTCTTTCTCAAAGAAAGATAGGGTTTTCTGTCTCTACAGCTGGAGTGTTATCCCCAATGAGCAGATAAAACAACCGAGTTATGTCTTCGACTTTATCTGGGGTAAGATGACCAAGAGAACCTATTTTCTCTGGTTTGATGCTTTAGGAGCCCTAGTTCATCATTGACTTTCCCAAAAGGATTCCCTCTTTGGTGGGTCTCCGAGATCCTTTCGATGACCTATGTTGTGTTGAAGGAAATAAAAACTAAGCGTAGGATAGTGATTTCTATATAATTTACTTCCCTGCACCAAATACCCCATCAGAGCCTAGAAAATTACAAGTTTTTGGGAAGTCAGTGGTTGAAGGATGATTGGATAGACTAATCTGCTCAATAATGCCAAAAAACCTTTCTTTTTCTTCTTTCTATTGAGGAGCTTGATAGGATATCATGATACCTCACAGATAGTTAAGAAATTACAAGAAATCTTTTTAGAGAATTTGGATGTGTGAGGCAGAGTTTATTAGATGAGAAAAATGTAAAGTGTTTACAACATGACCCACTTATTTATAGGCTAAACAAAAAAGGAAAAAAGAAAATAACAGACTAACTAAACTAAGTCAACTAGAACTAAAGTCACACCACTCGACAAATCTCCACCTTGACTTTAATTCTACAAAGATTTTACTTCCAATTATCAATGCTTAGGAGATCTAAACAATGTCTGAACTTGTTTAAAGAAACAGGTTTAGTAAGTGCATCAGCTGGGTTATCCTCAGTCTTCACTTTAACTCTTCTTTCTGACCGTATGAAATTATAACGAATGTCTATGTGCTTCATTCTTTCATGATGCACCTGATCTTTCGCAAGACAAATAGCACTTAAACTGTCGCAAAAAATCATAGCTTGATCTTGATGAAATCCAAGATCTCCAAGCAGACCCTTCAGCCAAATTCCTTCCTTTGCAGCCTCTGTAAGTGCCATATTTTCAGCCTCTGTTGAGGATAAAGCAACTGATGGTTGTAATGTTGCTTTCCCACTTACTAAGGCATCTCCAACAGTGAACACATAACCCGTTAATGATCTTTGATTGTCAAGGCCAGCTGCATAATCTGAGTCTGAATACCCAGCAACAAAACTGTCTCCTTTTCCTCCATAAATGAGACCCACATCAGCTGAACCTTTAAGATACCGAGAAATACGTTTTACAGCAGCCCAATGTTCCTTTCCTGGACAAGCCATATAGCGCGAAATGACACTAATGGCATGAGCTACGTCAGGCCTAGTACATACTGTAAAAATATATAAGACTTCCCACAGCGCTTGAATAAGGAACTCTGCTCATATACTCCACTTCAGCTTCTGTTTGAGGAGCCAAAGCCACTGATAACCTGAAATTTACAGATGATGGAGTGCTCAAAGGCTTTGCCGAAGCCATACCAAACCGAGAAAGTATCTTCAAAATGTAACTTTTCTGTGACAAGAATAGTTTATGTCTAGATCTGACTTGAACTATTTCCATCCCAAGTATCTTTTGAGCAGCCCCCAAAAGTATCTTTTGAGCAGCCCCCAAATCTTTCATATCAAACTCAGAATTAAGGAGTTGTTTCAATCTCATAATTTCAGCCATATCTCAAGCTGCGACCAACATACCATCCACATAAAGTAGCAAATACACAAGTGAACATTCAGCTACTTTCTTATGATATATGCAGCAATCATAAGGGCTTCGATTAAAACCATGTTTCACCATAAAGCTATCAAATCGCTTACAACACTGCTTCGGAGATTGCTTCAACCCGTAAAGCGATTTCTTGGGCTTACAAACATAATCTTCCTTTTCTTGAACCACAAATCCCTCCGGTTGACTCATACAAATTTCTTCTTCAAGATCTCCATGCAAGAACGTTGTTTTAACATCCAACTGTTCCAACTCCAAATTTTGTTGTGCTACTAGTGCCAACAACACTCGAATAAATGTTTGACGCACCACCGGTGAGAAGTCATTATAATCAACCCCTTGCTCTTGGCTATAACCTCTAGCCACCAAACGAGCCTTAAATCTCACATTTTCAGCTCCTGGCAGCCCTTCTTTCCGCTTAAAAATCCACTTACAAGTCACATTTTCTGCCTTGAGGTAATTTCACCAATTCGCAAGTCTTGTTCTTGTGAAGGGACTCCATTTCTTCACTCATGGCTGCTATCCACACATCAGCCTCCTTTGTTGTGATTGTTTCTCTATAAGTAGACGGCTCAAAGAACTCCAATTCTACAGCAACTTGTAACGCATAGGCCACCACGTCATTAAAACCATATCGAATCGGCCTACCAACTTGTCTTTGAGGCTTGTCTAACGCTATGGACCGAAACTCCATAGGTTGGTGCCGACTTGCGGACTCAACAGGTCTGTTTGAGTCATGTTATTGCATTATCCAGAAACATTCTCACCCTCATCAGAATCATTTAACTCATGCTCCACCTGTTCGGAGATCCTCTCCTCTTGATCTTTTGAAGTAGACGAATACCGTACGTCACACAACATACTTCCTTCATCAAATATTACATCACGGCTAAGAATCACCTTTCTTTCATCAAGTGACCAGATTCTATACCCTTTTTACTCCAGCACCATATCCCATAAACAACCCCTTCTTTGACCTTGCTTCCAACTTTCCTTCACTCATATGGTAGTATGAAGGACAACCAAACACCCGTAAATTTGTGTAATCAGCTAGCTTACCGGACCACATTTTAATAGGGGTTTTACAACCAATTATTGCTTCCAGAGACCTATTCACCAAGTAACAAACCGTGTTTAACGCCTCAACCCAAAACCCTCTAGACAGCCTTGCATTTGACAGCACACATCTGACTCTTTCTAGCAGCGTTCTATTCATCCTTTCGGCCACTCCATTTTGCTGCGGAGTGTCTAACCATTCGGTGCCTTGCAATCCCTTCATCTTTGCATAACCGGTTAAACTCATTTAAACAAAATTTCAAACCGTTATCAGTTCGCAACCTCTTTATCTTCTTCCCAAACGACTTCTCAAACGACTCACTCTTATGTTTCATGATAAACACCCAATTCATCCTAGAGTAATCGTCAACAATTGGGAGAAAATAACGGCCACCACCAAGAGAAGGAACCTGTGAAGGACCCAGCAATCAGCATGTAGATAGTCCAAAGTAGACTTGGTATTATGGACAACCTTTGAAAAAACTCACTCTCCTTTGTTTTCCAAAGATACAATGCTCACAAAAGCCTAGTTCAGTAACTTTATGACCTCCAAGAAGCCCTTGCTTTCTGAGCATGAGCATGCCTTTCTCACTAACATGCCCCAGCGTCATATGCCACAAGAGTGTCAAATCTGACTCGTTTTTATCAGAACAAAAGGCTGGCGATGTTGACCCGACAACCGTGTTGCCTTCAAGCACATACAAGGTACCTTTCTTGACTCCTTTCATCACCACTAATGCACCTTTAGAGACCCGAAGTACTCCTTTTTCACAGCTATACTTGAAACCTTTGGAATCCAAGGCTCCCAAAGAACCCAAATTCTTTTTCAAATCAGGTACATGACGAACATCAGCCAAAGTTCTCACTACCCCGTCGTGCATTTTGATACTTACCGAAATTCCAGCAACATTACACGGAACATCGTTCCCCATTAAAACACTTCCTGTTGCAACCTTTTCATAAGTATCAAACCAAGCCTTATTTGGTGTCATGTGAAACGAACACCCAGAGTCAAGAATCCACTTATCTTGTTGACTTTTAGAGTCGGCTACTGAAAGAACCAGATCAGCCTCTGAATCCGAATCATCTTTACCAACAGCAGCAAATGCCTTCTCATTTCGTTTCGAACATTCACTTTTCCAATGTCCAAGATCACCACACCTATGACATACACCTTTCGAGCTTGCTTTCAATCCTCGACCCTTCGATCTTGATTGACTTCTTCCTTTCCACTTGCCTTTACCTTCCTCTCGACCCTCTTCTCTACCTTCATTTACCATTGACAAGCCAACAGATTGGCTTTCAATTCCATTTCCAGAAGCTTTATGGCGTAATTCTCATGAATGCAAACTTGATCAAACTTCTTCCAAAGTAATTGTGTCCCTTCAAACTACAAATGAGTTGACAAAATTTTTGTATAAGGGTGACAATGAAACCAATAAAATGAGGGCAGCATCCTCATCTTCAACCTTGATCTCAACATTCTTTAAATCCATAAGAATGGAGTTTAACTCGTCAAGATGTTCCTTCAATGGCATCCCCTCTTTCATTCGAAGCAAAAATAACCTTTGCTTTAACAACTTGTTCGTTAAAGACTTTGTCATGTAGAGACTTTCAAGTTTCATCCATAAAGTTGTGGCAGTCTCCTCATTTGCAACCTCGTAAATCACTTCATCGGCCAAGGACAAGAAGATGGTGTCGTAAGCCTTCTCATCTTGTTGATTAAACTAAAAGTCGGCCATATTTGCAGGAGTCCAAATTCCTTGTTGTTTTAGGAGGGCTCTCATTTTAATTCGCCAAAAGCTAAAATTATTCTTCCCAGTAAACTTGTCGATCTTGATCATTTGTGGAGGCATCACCAAAATCTTGATTGAATTGAGGCAAGTGCTTCCGATCAGACAACAAAGAAATAGCATTTAAGGGGTTGTTTGGTTCAGGCAGGGCAATGAAAATGGGAATGAAATGAAAATGACGGGGAGTGAATCAGTCCCCCGATTTAACCTGGAATGAAAATTTGGTCTTCTATGGAAGTGGACCCATTATATTATATAACACCAATTTTTTTTTCAATCTCATTAATTACTACTTAATACCTCTAACGAAACACCCCCTTAGTATGCAACTTAATCGATTATTTACCTTCATTTGAGCACATACATAGTAATATAGGCTACCACACAAAAGGATATGAACCAATCATGAGCAAGAAATAACTTTGGCGAGAGCTACATCTTCAAGTATCCAAGTTTGATTTTGCAAAATTGGAGGCATTTAATAAACAAACAGCAATAAAATCACTTATTGCAAGAATCATTTATAGTAATACAACAAAATCTAGAATGAAATCATAAGAGAACTCGTATCTAAGTTTAAAATCACTGGGAGTACCGAATTAATTTTATGCAGAATCGCCAAAGGCATTGTACTTGTATCATTGTTAGTTTCACCTGCCCATAACCTCGTGAATGTAGTACCTAAAATTGGACATACAGAAATTAATGGTGACAACCACAAGATATGTCATTGTTGCAACGATGAAAATAAATTAATATTATATCATGTTTCCATATGCACCCTTGCTGGAAAGCAGTAAATGCTTCAAAATAACTAGCTATTAATGGGGAGCAAAAGATAAAGAAAACACGAGTAATTTTCTGATGATATTATTTGAGACTAATATGATGTTTAATTTGGTAGGATTCATGTCTCCAAACTTCTAACATAATAATATCACATTCGCTTGGTTTCCCTTTTGGTGCATGTCAGTCATACATGAAAAATAATTTTGATGATAGGAAATATACATAAATCGCAAACACATATGATAGACTCAAGATGCAACAAAAAGAATTTTACCGGAAATAAAGTGACCTTGTAAACATGATATAGTAGTGTTATAAGTAGCCTGTGAGTCTGCTGTTTCAGCTCAGTTTGTAGATGACTTGTTCTTATCAATTTGTTCAATGTTGCACTATTATATACCAAATCCCAAGAAAAAACAAGCTTTACTTAGGGATATCTCATTGGGATAAATGGAGCTCCATTTTTGGATGTCTAAGAGGATACATAAGAAGAAAACAGTGCTTCGATATTACATGGCCCAGATGTACCAATCATGTATTATGTAATGTTACACTTCGATTTCAGAAAGAAATATCCTTTGCTTACACTCCAAAACAAATGGTAGAGGTGTTTGCACAATGAGCATATCTATTACATTCAGTTGGAATTACTAGCTTATAAGAGAACTTTTACAAGGAATAACCTTCATCAAAAAGGCTACTCATTGGATAAATCAGATATCATGTGGCTTTGAGGGAACCTTTAATCTATATCCTAAGAACTATGATATATATGTAATAAATTACTTGAAAATTTAAATTAGGCTTTATTCTAGAACTTGGAACAAAGACCAAATATGGTTATTACTGTCACATTGATCAGAAGTCTGAACCTAAGCCGATTGGATGACACTATAATGTTATTTACCAAATCAAGACAGATATTCAGTTAAAAGACAAAAAGTACACATGATGGTGTATAAAATGATAAAAAAGTGTAGCAAAATAAGGGGGAAAGCCACCATCATCTTCCCCCTAATAATAGCAACAATAAGCCAGCAGTCAAGCACGAATACAATAATAGTTAAAAAATAAACAAAAATGAAAATAGAAGGCTAGAGATTTTCAAGCAACCAAAACAGAGGATAGCTGGCAATGGGAAGAGGTAGGAGAATATGGCGAAGCCATAGCTAACTTATGACTAATGAAATGACACCAAAAGCAACCAAGATAAACCATGCAAGGGCATAAAGAGCACCGCAAAGGGGGTGAACTGCAGATGGTTTGAAAAGAGTAACCGCTGAGGGTGGTTGCACGGCAGCAACTGGCCAATCACAAAGCCGAAGAAGAGGGATTCACAGGATTTAACCAGAACAGAGACAGATAGCAGATATGACAGATTTTTTAGAGGTTCAGTGTCAGTCAGGGAAAGATTTAATAGACACAAAAGAAATTGAAATTGGATTTGGGGCGGAGAGAGCTGCCAAGAGGGTTGAGGTGGGTCTGGGGGTGATCGGACCATCTAGAAATATAGGGTTAAGGGATGTGATTGAGGATGAGGTTTAAGGAGTAGCCGTTTCTGGCCATCAACGTCAATATAGGATTGCGAAAAGGAGAGTTACAAAAGAAGAGGATGACAAGAAAGGGAGGCTTAAAAAGAAGGAAGGCAATGGTTGCTGCTGCAAGCAGTGAACGAAATGACAGTTGCATCTACCAGAGGATGGAAAAGAAAAAAAAAAGAAAAGAAGAGACCGAGTAACCCACCAAACAACAAAAGAAAGGCCGGGTACAAGAGAAAAGAGTTCAAATTTGCAAACAGCCCAAACACCAAGATGGAGAGAAAATTCTAGATAAAGTTTAAGCGTTACAAAGTGAATAGCATTTTATAAGGTTCTAACTTCTAATAAATAAAACTAGGTAATGTTAGCATTAGAGCTCAATAGAGAACCCATATAGCACATATAGAGCAGGTCAAACATAGCTCCTGGTGATGTTGCCTTTAACACTAGTATGGAAATTGAATGGAAAATTGTTTTGTTTTGTTTTACTTTATTTGATTAATATAGATAATGATGCAAGGTAAGTGAATAATATAAGCATGTAAATGAGAAAAAGAAAAAGAAAGAGAACATATATGCACACTTCAAGCTACAGAGGGGAAATGGATACTTAAGCAACATTGCAAGCACATACAATCTAGGGTTCATTGTGCCACCTTCATGCATCAACAAGGTTTTGCTTGTGTTCTATGATGCTGGTTATGCTATAAATTCCAGTGGATGTTTGCATAACAAAAGTTAGGAAAACCTTTAAAGATATAGTTGCTACTTTGCTAGTAATTTCAGAGTATTTGGAGGAAACAGAACTTCAATCCAGTAAAAAGCTTGTGTTTGCCTTAATCAAGTGATATTCTAATCCACGTACTAGTGGAAATCCAAGGGTATCAGTCCATTGTTCTTGGCAGCATTTTAGGTTGACATTATCGATTGAATTCTTTGAACATCCTCATCAAAAGTAGAATAGCTAAAGAATAGTTGCTTATACACCCTTTTGACAATTCTAGAACTTAGAACAAGAGGCATGGTGTTGGATTTCATCAACTAATATCAACTCCTTTTGAATCGTATAAACTCTAAAGTAGATGAACAAGATCAGATATAGCAATGTCTGAGTTTTAAAAACCATACAACCATACCCCAAAAATTTTGGGACAAGGGCCTCTTCCGTTGAATTTAACTGTTAAGGTGTCGAAATGTTAAACTATCATAATGTTGCATTTAGAAAGTCACTTTTTCATCTAAAGAATTCATGGATTAAGGCATTCCATTACAAAGATTAATATTGAAGATGCATTCTAAGAGGAAAAAAATACTACAGGACTTACCTTCCAATGTTGAAGCATTCATGGTATAACTAAGAAGTCTACTACAACTCAAAAGGTCCCACACTCGTAATACTCCATCCAAATGAAGCACAAAAATAAGTTTTTTCCCTTGAATCTCTAAACATAACAGACCCTTCACGGCAGCAATAGTCTTCCTGTATGATAATTAAGAAAATAGCTTAATCAAGTTCAATAAAATATTTCCTCTTCCTAGTAAAAGAGGGATCATGGATTGTAATCCATAAGTAATGATAAACCACAAACAAGCTTGTAGTTTATATTTCACTTGTTACAGCGAAATTTCAAAATCGGCCATAATCAAGATAAGAAAATATCAGAAAGTGGTTGTTAAATACAAATAGCAGAGCTTGTTCAAAAACTTACGTTTTCTTCCGCTTCAATTCAGCATGAAAGTGACATATGCTAATAGGTTCCAGTTAGATGATAATGTAGATTAATATCATTGAGAGGCTTGGTTGTCAATCCATTGTAATTAACGATACATGAGTTGTTCACAGGCTAATTTGTTCACTCAACAATACACAACCCCAGTCCCACTTATGATCTTCTCATGACACGTTTACTGTTTCCCTTTCTTCAATAAACTCCAACCTTCAACTGTAAGTAGTAAAGATTATCTAAAACGTGCAACACCCAACAACTAATGTGCTCAGTCAACGTGCCACCTAATGTACTCTACATTCAGGCTTCTCACCTCTGTGGCATACATACTTTACAAACCCCATATATACATATATATATATATATAAAAGCTTGATTCTGAGTGAGCACAATTCCAATATTTAGATGCATCATGATGATTCTGAAAACTTCAACAGCATTGTAAAATGGTAAAAGATTGCATAAACAGGTATCCAGAAGCATATTTTCCAAAAGTAAATTATAATAATTACCTCGACATTAAATTCCACAAGCGACCAAAACTGGAATCATCTCGTAGTTCATGCAGAAAACCTAAGATTTGGTTTGGAGGTATGTTAGAATATATCTTCAGTATCCACATGTCATAAGAATCCATGGAAACTATAATACAATGTGACAGGTAGTAGCATTAGGAAAATTGTACATTATCAGTCATAAACTTTCCAGCAACCATAGACTACACATGAATATCATGTCTTTGCAGACAACCATATTCCAAGATAAAAGATAAATGGGAAAACTTATATCATTTTATGTGGGACATCATTTAATAATCCACAGAGCCACAGCTTAAAGCAAAATGAAGAAGATAGATATGCTGTGAATGTTCCATACCTGGAACACTAGGATCAAGGATGCCAAGTCCGAAACAACCAACCGATCCGTCCCTTCCTCCTATTATAAGGCACCCAGCGGTTGCTGATGTAGCCGTTATGGCTCCATAATTACAATAACTTTGGATATTCAACTCAACAACCTCATTAGGTGGAAAAACAGAGCACGATGCATAGTTGGTAATATCAGTCAGTCTAATAAGGTAAGCAACTCCAGCAGCAGTCAACGTGTAAAGCATGTATGGGTTTCCAGAAGAACTAGAGAACTGCAGAAGAAATTAGTATGATAGATATGCAAGTAACACAAAATTTTGGACAAGAAAACAAAAGGGACAGCCAAACTAGAAAATATGAAGAAAAAATACCTCATTTTTGCATATCAAAGCAAATGGACAGAGTGCATTAGCAAATTCAATCTGCAATCCAACCCTTGGAAATTCTGCAAAACTACAGAATTCCACTATCTCCAGGATATTTGGGGAAGTCTTGTTTATTCTCCTGTTAATGGCACAAGTCATTTATGTAAGACACCTATTAGAAAGAACGATTTAGAAGACATCATTTCTACAAATTCTAGCAAAGGCCAGATAGATTTCCTTTGCCAACCTCCAAGCATGAATTATAGAACTCGATAATAATCGGGTCACTCAAATGAAGCTACAGTTAGCTCATCAACTGGTCATCCTTAAAGGCTTAAATAAGTGTTCCTTTTCACTCGCACAAAAATTTGTACTAACATAAAATAGCTGATACAAACTAGTCAAATCCCAGAACAAAGTTGCCAAGCACCATCAATTTGGATTCAGATCAAGCTAAAAACAAGCACACACACAGAGTTGCCTCTTTCTCTATGTCCAAAACATTGCCCATGATTTAGTGATTTAAAGGCCACTTGTCAGCATTCATAATTAATGGCTTAAGGCTGCTTAATCTGCATCATTCCCTGACCAATTTGATTAGCAACTAATCACTCAAGTAAGCATTGCAAAAGTTAAGTCTTATTAAGCAGGAATAATCAGACTAGGCCATAATACATTGGATTTACCCTATTAATGGAACAATAAAAAAATTAAGCAGCTTGGTAACTATTAGCCCAGATGAAATTTTCAATTTAGCCTGCTTCAAAATTTATATCAGCCAAAATTAAAACCAACTTCCATCTTTTGAGCCTCGTTACTTCCACCCGGATTAAAACAAGGCATTGTTATATACCTAAATGCAAATCAGGTAACCAAGCAATTGTTGCCTAACCTGCTAGAAACTGAAAAGTAAAAGCGTGGGTTTGCAATTAAAACTTTTGATCGTCTTCTGAACAAGTATAACTATATGTGTACATAATCTAAAATAATTATATGGTTAACTAATCTAAATATAATTATAGGTAAAAATGATATAAATTATCAACTTCCATATGTTTGCATAATCTTATAGCAATTATCTTGTGTTATAAAATGATAAGGTTAATGTGTGTCCCTAAGTGTTTGTTAATCCCATGGAAGTGAAGGCACAGGCACAACAAAAAACCCCCTCAGAAAATGCAAATCATAGTGAAGGTTCATTTTGAAATGGGCCAAATCAGTTTAGATGGACGATATGCTCATAAAATCAATTTGGCTATGATGTGGTTATATAATAAGCTCACATAGAACAAACAAACAAAATTCTACATATGAAATATGATGTAAGGGTGCGTATGGTATCCAGGATAGGACATAACAGAACAGTTGTTCAGTGTTTGGTAATACAGAAGTAAACAGGCCAAAACAAATAAAATGACCAATTTACTCCTAATGAATTGTTAACATATTTTATATATTTTGATTAATTATTAGATTATAATAAATAAATATACTTGACAATAAAATATATCATTAGATAGTCTTCGTCAAGATGATTAAAATGATACCAAAATAAAAAGTTCATGTAGCTTCTATTCTATTGTATATCTTCTCTATATTATTTTTTGTTATTAATAATTAAGAAATTACATAAATTAATCAACTATGGAAACCGTATAAAAATAATGTTTTGAGGACGGTAAGTGAAAGTTTAAAGAGTATAAAATACAATAAATAAAATTTAAAAAATGAATAAAATGTGAGAAAGGTGTATTTGATGTTTTAGAAGAGAATTAGGTTTTATTTTGAGATTATATTGGTAAAATATAGGTCTATCCCACCTTGTTCCATGGGGGTGGGAGTGGAACAGGCATGTTCCATTCTGTCCCTGTCCGTTCCACATAAAAGTCCTGCCAAACGTGGAACAGTCATCCCTGTTTTGTCATCTGTACCAAACGCACCCTAAAAGACCACTTTTAACCTAATTACCTAAAAAACAGAAGGAACAGCAAAGGACCTCTCACTCTTGGTCTCACACAACCCATGTGTCTGATAGATAACAAAGCCATCTCCTCTCTTTTTCTATCACCTTTCATCTTTCTCTTGTACAGCAACTCTATCTCTCACACACCTCATTCTTCCTTTCTCCCTCTTGCAAGTTATCGTCGTTTTTTCCTTTTGTTTGTGGTTAGTGGTTACTTAGTTTTTAGCGGTTAGTTACTTAGTATTTAGATGTTAAGTTGTTTTTGTTAAATTTTTTAGGCTTTAGTTGCTAACTGTTTGTTTGGCTTGTAGTTGTTTATGTTTATGTTAATTTCTTAAGCTTTTAGCTATTAAGTTATCTGCTAGTTTTTTGTTGTTCTAAAGTGAACTTTGTGATCATGTGTTAAGCTTTTAGTTATCTGTTTGGCTTTAAAGGTTTCTATTGGTTTCTTAAAAGTTAAAATTTAACATCTTAGTGACTTGGTGATTTGATGACTTCTTGTGACTAAATTTTACTATTTAAAGTATTTAGAAGATGTCTTGGGAGTATGACAAACGCATTCAAGAACACATGAATGCGGTTTGGTGTAAGTTATGCGGAAAGAGAACTAACAAAGATATTACCCATTTTTAACATTCCGTCAGCAGCTATAGAAAAACAAGTCTGCGTCCAAAAACCATAAGAGATTTTAGGTATATTCCGGGACCTCTGTATGTGGCAAAGAAAAGAGGATGAGTATGGATGCATTTCAACATGAAAGAGGCATGTTGAGTGGTATGGAGTTCACATCTAGCAAGAGTAAGACACAATTGCCTACACAATAGTTTGGCCAATGAACAGGTTTATGTCTAATCCAGATCAAAAAATCAACCCAAGGAATGAGCCAAAATAAACAGCTACTAATGCACATTTTGAAATTTAGAAAGATAGTTGGCTTGTCAAGAATTTGGTGGCTATATCAAGCATGAACTAGATTTGACATCCTTTGATTAAAAAATCTTCAAAGAAACTATGAACAATATCACGTTATGGGGCCAAATTTAAACCTCCCTCTTATAACGTAGAGCATATTGATTCAATGATGGCACATCACAAAGCCATTCGAGAGAAACATAGATGGATAATTATGTCGACATATAATTAACTTTCTTGTGCATTTTGCCATGGGAACTACATGCATATGAGGTTGTTAAAGGCTAAAAAGGCACACTTAGGTGCATAGGGGTCCTGAGGACTAGGCAGAAGACATAAGCGTGAGGCGCGGGACTTAGGACTACGAGACGCATTTTATCAAATATATATACACACATACACGGTTACACACAACTCAAATATGTAGCAAGTACAAGCCTCGAGTGCAACAACCAGCAAAACTTTGATAAAGGCAGAAGGGAGTAAAGTTTAAAGCGTGACCCATGAAGGGAAGTTTTAAGTCTAGGTATTTATAGCAGAGGCTTGAAGTTCTAAGAACTAGGTATTTAATATTAGGGTTTGACTTATCTGTTTAATACTCCCTTGTCCCAAAATAAGTGTCTACTATGAAAAAGGCACGTGGTTTAGAGAAGTGTAATTATTACACTTTCAATTAGGGGTGCTCATGGGTTGGATTGATCGGATTGAAGGCATTCAAACAACCCAACCCAATGTTTGCGATTTGAAAAATCTCAATCCAACCCAACCCAAACCGTACAGGTTGATTGGGTTGGTCAGGTTGATACTTTGGTACATCAAAATTTTCTTCTAACCTTGAATATGTTGTTTTCTCTACTCATAATTCTTTTTTCATCATCAATCATTTCATTCAGCTTATACATACTCCTTAAATCTTAAGTATATACATTGAACTACTTTTCTTAATTTGCAAATATATGTTCACGTTTACTGAACATATACACGAAGTTACATAGAGATGGAGAAGAGATAAAAAGTATATGTATATGAAGAGGGTACGTGATAGTGTAATTGTCTAACGTACATATTAATAGAGACTTAACAATCATATTAAATACATGAAATAAAGGACATCAGGTTCATCGTCGGATTGGATTGGGTTCCAATGACCATAACGCAATTCCAACCCAATACCTACGGTTTAAAGATTTTACAACTCGATTAGACATCGGGTTGTTGCAGATTGGATTATTTCGTGTTAGGTTGGGTTGGCGGGGTTGTTCGGTTTTTTGAGCATCCCTACTTTCAATGAAATAAATGATACTATGATAGTGTTACCCTTAATAACAGAGGGAGTAATTAATTTCTTCATCTCATAATTAAGGGTAGAGTGCGGAAGTATGAACTTATTTTTTTGAAGTGGACATTTATTTCGAAACAAACTAAAAATTAGAAATGTGGACACTTATTTTGGAGTGGAAGAGGTAACTCCTTTAAGAAGTCTAGGAGATGAGAAGATGAGAAAACTTATTTAATACTAGGGTTTGACTAGGTATTTAATAACTCTTTATGAGGCACGCCTAGGCCCGAAAGGCGCCTCGGCCAAGGCGCAACGCCTTAGTGAGCCTCGTGAATACGCCTAGCCTCAACTTTCCAAGACCTTGAACCTTATGAGCCTCATGCGCTTTTAACATTGCATCAAATCGATTGATGCATCAAATGACATAAAAGATTGGTACATCTTGTAATGCATCTCAAAAATGTAACCGGAGAAGACAAGCCCAAATATGTGATGCAAGTCATCACCAACAATGCATCAAACTCTATAGCAGCCAAGGGACTACTGGAGGTAATGTTCTCTCCTGCATACAAATACGCCTAGCCTCAACTTTCCAAGAACTTGAGCCTTATGAGCCTCATGCGCTTTTAACATTGCATCAAATTGATTGATGCATCAAATGACATAACAGATTGGTACATTTTGTACATGCATCTCAAAAATGTAACTGGAGAAGACAAGCCCAAATACGTGATGCAGGTCATCACAAACAATGCATCAAACTCTGTAGCAGCCAAGGGGCTATTGGAGGTAATGTTCTCTCCTGCATTTAAACCACTATGTGCAGCACAAGACATAATCCAGTTTTAGAAGATATTGCTAGAGAAGTTCTTTTTATGTTCTAACTCAAAGTTTGATATTGATTATCCTATATTACGTAAATTGTTACAACTGAATGGCAGATAAATTATTGATTATCCTAATACAGTTTAGTTATGCCGTAGCTTCATAGCAAGAGAAACAGATCACCTCAAACAAAAAGGCTCAACCATAGGATGTATGTGAAGTACAATTATACTCATCAAACTCAAGATGAAGATTGGGCTAGTACAAGAGCAACTAGGATAATTGAATGTCGTATAATTTCTTATCTGACTACTGATATTCACACTTCGCGGTGAAGTTCTAGAATCGATATCATATGCTAATTCAACAAGTGTATGTTCTTTTTGCGTAGAGAGAGTATGCAAAGCGAAGAGGGTTTTGCCATAAACTACGAAAACAAAAAAGCAAAGGAAAGGGAGCACAGTAAAAATGCATTAGCTTTACCAAATGAAATAGGTAGGAGGGTCTCCAATGTTGCAGCAAGATGATGCATCTTCGGTGGGAGGAGCAAAGGGCTCAGGCGGTGATGGCGGAGTCGATGTAGATGTAGAAGTTGAAGGGACGGAGACATGGAACCATTTGATGGAGTCGCTGCCAATTATGGGAACCTCGATACCAGCTAACGACGACCGAGCTGCCATTGATTTGTGGTGGTGCTACAGAGGCTCTGTGTTGAAAACCTAGTAGTCTTTAGCAGAGGGGGAAGAGAGGGAAGGAAAGGGTTTAGAGAGGGTACTAGAAGCGTAGGAGTGGGTAGGGAGGGAGATTTAATTTTTTAAGGGGCGTTTTAGTGCTTATTTTGAATTGTTTGGCAAAATTCTACATTTATAAATTTTTTTATCATAGTATTTTATTTTTAATTTCTTTTATTATAGTAAAGTACTTTTAAATTATTTTTTATTGAGATATTATATTTTGAAAATTTTATTTTTTATAGCATTGGATAACATTTTGATTTAAATTTATCCATTATATCAGGTTTTCATGTCACTTTATTGTCCATGTAGGTTATCCACATGTATTATAATGACGTGACTTTTTTACTACATCATTATATTTTCATAATTATTTACTAGTTCTTATTAAATAATGTATTTTTAATGTAATATTTAGATATTACATGTTATTTAATATATATTAAAAAAATAAAAAATTCTAAGTTATTCATTAATATACAAATATTGTAATAATCGGGTCTTGGTTATCACCTGAGGTAACTGATACGTAATTATTTATTATGTATTCCCATGATAACATGATAAACTGATATATTTAATCATGTGGGTATGGATATTTTTATGCATAAATATATATATATGCATAATGTGAAAAGCATATAATTAAATATATGTGTGTGTGCATGATTATTTATATGCATGATTATGCATGTGATTGTATGCATGGGTACGTATATATGTATATGGTTATGCATAAGGGAGGCAGGAGTGGAGGCGGTTTTAAACCGCCTTACTTTATTTAGAAAAAGTATAAATATGATGGTGAGACCCTCGTATCCTTTTTCTTGGCTATTTTGGAAATCGAAGAGTTTAGAGAGAAGAATTGTCCTGATTATTCTTGATTAGGATCAAGTAGAGGATTCAAAGTTTTCTTGCTTTTGTTAAAATTCAAGGTGGGTGGTTAAAATGTTTTAAATCTTTTTGAATTGCATAATTGTATGTATAACTTTCCACCCGGTTTAAGTTTAAATCGGATGAGTGTTTGTCCGGATTAGAATAAATCGGACAAAGTGTTGACCGGATTGGGTATAAATCGGACACAGTGTCATCCGATTTAGGGTAAATCGATCAAAGTGTTGATCAAATTGATATGTTGGGAAAATTCTATCTTTGAAAATCGGTTAAATATTTTGAACGGAGAAGTAGGAATACGATCAAGGGGTGACCGGTTCAACTATAAATCGAACAAAGGTTGCCCCATATGTTTATAAACCGAATGATGTGTTGTCCGGTTTAGATGTAAATCGGACAAGACTTTGAGAGTGTTGTCCGGATTTGTAAATCGGACAAAAGGACTTGTGATGTCCGGACTTGTAAATCGGACAAATAATCTAAGTCTTGTCCGGATTGGTTAAATCGGCCAAAGCTTGACCGGAGATGAAGTCCGGTCAAGTCTATGTTGACCGGAGTTGTGCGTTGACTTGTGTATTGTTCATATAATCATCATTTTAATATTCTTTTTAAAGAATGGGAATTTTTGATAAAGATGATTTCGAACTGATGATATTCCATTAGGACATTTATGGCTGCGGTCTGTTCTAATTAGAATTATTTTGTAAAATATTTTGATGAGGAAATAAGGGTGGCATATCAATGAGAGGTGTATCATGGGACAAGGGTGACATATCAAGGAGAGATGTACCATGGGATAAGGGTGACATATCAATGAGAGGTGTACCTTTGGATATAAGGGTGGCATTTGTATGTGTGATGTGTAATATAACTCTTACTATTATATCCTTTAAGATTACTGTGATTTGGAATTTTTATTTCTTTGTGATTTAAAGATTTAGAATCAGAGTTCTTATTTGAAATCGTAGTCTAGATGTTATTGGGAAGGAAATAACAAGTTTGGCCTAAAACTTTGAATAAACCATGTTTAATTGAAAAGGTTTAAAAGTGGCATTATGATAAACCTGGTTAGTACAAATCTATTTAGGTTTTGATGTATTATCTGAAAGCATAGGATTTTGCCTGAAAAGTGGAAAGGTACTGGTAATATGTTTTTACTTGTTCATATATTTGTTATGTATATGAAAAGTTGTTTTTAATAAAGTTTTGGTGATTTTCGCCCTGCAATAACATAAAAAGGGAACTCACTAGACCTTCTGATCTAACCCTCATTTTGTGATTTTAAATATGTATTGCACGAGTTTCAGACGGTAAGGGGAAGGGGAAAATGTAATATTTTCCTATGTGCATATTTGCTGGAAGATTTGACTATGACGAGTATAATTTTGTTTGATGAATGTTGAATAGTGCAAGAATTGTATTTTGAAATTTTAGACCATGTATTCTGTAATGGTAGATTCTTGTACTAAGGGACCTATGTGGTGTATAAACATGTATTTCTTATGTATGAAGTATGTGTTACATGCAATGTGTGGTATGGGGTGTTACAGAAAGTGGTATCAGAGCCTGAGTTTAAGGGATTTAGGTATTTAACAGCATGATACCTATACTTAAACTATTTCATTGCATGTTAAGGGTCCCGGACATAGTTAGCACCATCGAAAATAAATATGATGAGTTAAAGAAACAGTGTGTAAGGTAAATTTTAATTACATTTGGCCAGTGTAATTATGAATTTACAGGTACATATCTGGACTTGAATACTTCATTATATTTGGGAATGTAATACATGATCATTAATACTGCAATATGCAGATGTCTAGTCAAACACGGAGATCTGAAAGAATGGTTCGTCTTGAGTCTGAGGAAAGAGAGGAATCACCTGCTAATCTCCCGACAAGTACTTCTGAAAATAGAGGTCAGGGAAGACCAAAGGGGAGAGGTAGAGGGAGAAGCCAGACACAGGGAAGGGGTCGGGCTGAAATACATTCTGAGCATGAAGAATCCCATTCTGGGAATGTTCAGGAGGGATCAGTGCCATACCCAGAATACATAACTAGAGACATGTTGGCTGAGGAAATGGGGAAGTTAAGGGAAACCTTGACGTCTATTATAGGAATACCGGCAATGGTGGAAGCAGAAAGTGTAGAAGTACATCCCTCTGTTTCGGTTGCTCATAATAAGGAAGGAGACATCAAAATGTTCCTGACTTGTAAACCACCAACTTTTTCTAGGGAAAGAGATCCAGTAAAGGCTATGTGCTGGATCAAGGAAATTATATCTGTGTTCAACACCATCTGATGTTCAGAAACTGATAAGGTTCGATTTGCTGTATCAGTATTGAAGTCAAATGCTCTGTTTTTGTAGGAAGTCGAATCGTTGGCTAAAACATATGTCTTACAAACATTGTCTTGGACATAATTTGTGAACCGATTTGAAGATCATTTCTGTCCCAAGACGGCTTTAAGACAAATGGAGGAAGATTTTCTGAAATTAGAACAAGGCAATAGGACTATTCGGGAGTATACTGAGAAGTTTATTGAATATTCTCGGTTTGCTAAACATTATATTTCATCAGAATCGAGGAAGGTGGAGAGGTATATTTGGGGGTTAAAGCCTTCAATCCGTGAATTTGTAATTGTTATGAACCCCACTACCTTTTCACTAACTGTGGATGTGGCAGAGGTAACAGCACGAAATAAGAATCGTCAATCAGAAGGTAAGGTTGTGGAGAAAAGAAGATGAGAAGAGCCTTCATCTAATTTTCGAGGGCCAAAAACAGTGAAATATGATAATAGATCTGAATAGAAAATCGGGGAGAAGGTTTGTATACAATGCCGACAGGTTCATCAAGGTGATTGTAAGATGGATCCAAGGAAATGTTACAAGTATGGTGAGGCGGGCCATTTGTCGAGGAGTTGCCCATCCAACAAAAGATGTTTCAATTGTAATTCCCCAAATCATATTCGGCCTAACTGTCCGTTGCTAAGAACTCCACAATTAACTATGGGGAGTAATGTGTCGGGTACTCGGGGAAGACCTACAGTATCCAAAGGAGGGCAAGGAGGGACACGAGGACGGTCCTTCCAGATGACAAAGAATGAAGCAAAGGCTGCACCAGATGTAGTAATAGGTACTTTCCTTCTGAATTCTATACGTGCTAAGGTGTTATTTGATTCTGGTGCAAACTTTTCGTTTGTATCACCATCGTTTGCTCAAATTGCATGTTTGAATTTTGTGTTACTTGATGACGAATTAGTAGTTGATACTACTAATAGTCAGAAATCTGTAACTAGTGTATTCAATAACTGCGCTATTGTTATTGAGGGGTGTGAGCTACCGATTCGGTTATTCCCGATGCCGATGAAAGAATTTGATGTAGTAGTGGGTATGGATTGGTTGGCAGAGCATCATGCCAGTATTATCTGTAATAAGAAAATGATCAGAATCCTTTTGCCAGACCGAGGAACAGTTGTTATTTATGGTGATCGCCAGAATTATCATACTAACCTCTTGTCTGTAATAAAAGCCCGAAAGTATATCCCGAAGGGGTGTCAGGGGTGTTTGGCATATGTGATTGATGTGAAGAAAGAAAAAGGAAAACAGGAATTGATTCCAATTGTTAATAAATACCCAGAAGTTTTCCCAGAGGATTTGTCTGGTTTACCACCAGACAGAGTCATTGAATTCAGAATCGATCTTTTACTTGGGGCAACACCTGTAGCCAAGGCACCGCATAGGTTGGCTCCATCAGAACTAAAAGAACTGATTACTCAGTTGAAGGATTTAAATGATAAATGATTTATTCGACCTAGCACTTCACCCTGGGGTGCTCCGGTCTTATTTGTTAAGAAGAAAGATGGATCTATGCGAATGTGTATAGATTATCGAGAATTGAATAAGTTGACAATCAAGAATAAGTATCCTTTGCCAAGGATTGATGACTTGTTTGATCAACTGGTGGGAGCAAGTTATTTCTCCAAAATTGACTTAAGATCGGGATATCATCAGCTTAATGTCAGGGAGGAAGACATCGTTACAACAACTTTTCGAACTAGGTACGGGCATCATGAAATTTTAGTTATGCCATTCGGTTTAACTAA